GACTAAATTTCTATAATAATAACAGTATGTGTCATAAAACATCAATCTTGTTAATAAACGAACATAGTAATAATAAATGAATCATCAGTTGCGACACACAAGTATATGATTTGTTAGGTGACTACGATCTCGGATAACATATTATATATATACTAGTTGTCCCGGCAAACGTGGTTTTGCCATATAAATTAATAACGCTATATAAAAATAGGGGTTGGTGATAGAAGGGTGAAAATTTAGGGTTGTATGTATTTTTTAATGACACATAAAAAATATAAATAAAAAATTTGCCCAAATAATAAAAAAATAAATTTTATCACTTAGGGGTATGAAAAATAGATAGTAGCCGATTCTCAGACCTACTGAATCTATATATATATATATATAACTCAAAGGTGACTGACATAGTGATCTATCAACGCACAGCCCAAACCACTGGACGGATCGGCCTGACATTTGGCATGCAGGTAGATGTTATGACGTAGGCATTCGCTAAGAAAGGATTTTGATCTAGGGCCCTCACTGGACAAGGCTGGCAACTGGCAAGCTGAATAAGCACATGCCGAAATTAGGCCTTAGCTTAACATAAATCTGCAGGTTTTGCCAAGCAGAAGAGGAAACGCCACTGCACATCCTATGTGGCTGTAGCCCACTAATGCATAAACGAAATATCCCCTTTGGAAAGTGTACACTCTATCCTGAGGAGATAAAAACCATCTCTCCTAAGAATATCCTTCAATTCTTGTCCCTTACGGGTCTAGGTAGCGAACTTTGAATAAGGGCGCACAATAGGTCTATACAGGTCGCGGTGTTACAGGTCATAGTACCTGATAATAGCCCAAGCTGCCAATAAAAAAATAAAGTTAACATAGTACCTGTACTATATATGTAATTAAAAAAAAAATTGTTGTAATTAAGTTGTCGAGGTCAAGAAAATTGTTTTATTAATGTACAATGATTCTAAAAAATAATTGTAGATGTTCTGATACTGTTTATATTAACTCTAATAGTACCCTTGTGTTAAATGTAAAAAAAATCAACGCCGATAATAATTTGAAGGAAATTTACCAGAATGCCGTTGTGTTAGATATCGTTTAATTATGTAATGTGACATACAGATATAAATAACTACAGAGCACCATCTATACAGCCGAATTCGACTGTACATCGATTTTATAATAACTTTATTTCACCGATTGTGTAATAACTTTAACTTTATTTTTCTAAAATAAAAGTAGCCTTAGTTACTCCTTATTTCATCAGTTACCTGCCAATAAAAGTACCGTCAAAATCGGCCCAGCCATTTCATAGATTAGCCGGAACAAACAGACCGACAGACGGTCAGACAAAAATAGAAAAAAAATATTTTGGTGTATGTACCGTATTTATATGTATATGTGGTAAAAAACGGTCATTTCAATATTAGAAACAGACACTCCAATTTTATTTATATGTATACATTTGAAAATTAAATTCGTAACGCGCAGAAATTCTCTTAATTCGACTCCACGGACCTCTGTAGGTCCGTGAAGTCGAAATTGGTTATTAATAAAAATTTGCATTATTAATGTTAATAATGTACATTTTTATTACTAACCTACAAATGTCCTTGTTTAAATTAATCAGAACATATTGTAGATAAATGACCTAGTTATATTAATAAGTAGTTTGTTATAATTTTAAAAAATCACTTATTCTGTGATTCTTGTGACAATGTTATCTGATTGAACAGAGATTAAGTGCGTAGTGGTTTCAATGTTGATTGTCGCATGCCTAATCCTTGTTAATGTAAATATAATTAAATTAATATTTATTTAAAAGAGCAACACATAAGTTTCTTGCTCACTCTTCTTGTGATGAGTCTACATTCCGAATGTGCGGTAGAATAAAAAAAATGATTATTCAAAAGTGTTTATATTAAGTTTATTTGAATAAAGATTATTCCTAGCGTAGTTTTAAAGATTGAAGCATACAGGGACAGACAGCGACAGCGACTTTGTTTTAAACTATGTAATGATGATAATGAATCAAACGTTATTGTATTCTTTACTCTGCGCTACAATATTTGGACCTCCTGCTAACACAATTGTTTTTCTCCAGACCCTTCAATTTCTTCTGAAGGTCTCTAAAAACTCTTCTAGTTACTATAAAACAGTGTATTTCTCATTACGGTTAACAAATTTAAGTACCTCTAAATGTTATACATTGAGATCTTATCTCCCAAATGATTGTAACTAAGTATGGTAGATTATGACTTTGAATTACATAAGGTAGAATAAAAAATGTACTATTCAAGTGTGCTTATAGCTTAGTTGATTTGAATAAAGATTATTTCTATTAGTATGGCAAAGTTCTGCGAGGATTCTGTACTGAAAACTAAAAATGTCGCTTTGAACAAAATCTCATATGGTTGACAACCTTTTTTTTTTTACTTGGAGAAAATCCCTCATGGAGACCCGCCCGCCCCGGGGGAGGTAAGCGGGTACTGTGAGACTCCTACTCACTAAAAACTCCAAGGTATCCCGACGAAGCGCCTATAGCCGGAGTCGCGGGAATCGAATGTCAGTCCACCGCAACTCCGGCGCACGGTTGCCAACCCTTTTTTTTTTTAACTTGGAGAAAATCCCTCATGGAGACCCGCCGGCCCCGGGGGAAGCCCGCGGGTACTGTGAGACTCCTACTCACTAAAAACTCCAAGGTATCCCGACGAAGCGCCTATAGCCGGAGTCGCGGGAATCGAATGTCAGTCCACCGCAACTCCGGCGGCGTCGGCCCGCTTTAGTTTGCGGGCCACTTCGTTTTTATTTTGGGGTGTCCACCCCACCTCTCTTGAGAAACCTTCTCGGGCTTTTCTTGGAGATGCAACCGCCCCCGCGGTGACATCTCAGGCCCTTGCGGCGATCTGAGGCGCCCATGCGCCCCTCCACCTCGGATCGCTTTGGATGGAGCCACCCTTATTGGGCGGAGTCCATCCTGCTCGTCCCGCTCTCAAGGCTGGGGGCTTTGGGGCCCGACCTGAGAAACCTTCTCGGGCTTTTCTTGGAGATGCAACCGCCCCCGCGGTGACATCTCAGGCCCTTGCGGCGATCTGAGGCGCCTATGCGCCCCTCCACCTCGGTTCGCTTTGGATGGAGCCACCCTTATTGGGCGGAGTCCATCCTGCTCGGCCCGCTCTCAAGGCTGGGGGCTTTGGGGCCCGACCTGAGAAACCTTCTCGGGCTTTTCTTGGAGATGCAACCGCCCCTGCGGTGACATCTCAGGCCCTTGCGGCGATCTGAGGCGCCTATGCGCCCCTCCACCTCGGTTCGCTTTGGATGGAGCCACCCTTATTGGGCGGAGTCCATCCTGCTCGGCCCGCTCTCAAGGCTGGGGGCTTTGGGGCCCGGCCTGAGAAACCTTCTCGGGCTTTTCTTGGAGATGCAACCGCCCCCGCGGTGACATCTCAGGCCCTTGCGGCGATCTGAGGCGATCAAGCGCCCCTCCACCTCGGATCGCTTTGGATGGAGCCACCCTTATTGGGCGGAGTCCATCCTGCTCGGCCCGCTCTCAAGGCTGGGGGCTTTGGGGCCCGACCTGAGAAACCTTCTCGGGCTTTTCTTGGAGATGCAACTGCCCCCGCGGTGACATCTCAGGCCCTTGCGGCGATCTGAGGCGCCCATGCGCCCCTCCACCTCGGATCGCTTTGGATGGAGCCACCCTTATTGGGCGGAGTCCATCCTGCTCGGCCCGCTCTCAAGGCTGGGGGCTTTGGGGCCCGACCGTTTGCCGACATCTTTACCCTTGGGCGGGGAACAGTTCTTCGCCCCCACCCAGTGGTCTGTCGGCCTGCCTTTAGAGGCACACACTGCATACCGCGGCGCAGACGCGCATGAGGCCGCCTTGTGGCCGCTCTCCCCACAGCGACGGTTGCCAACCCTACCAGCATCTCGATTTTGAAAATCCTATACCAGACAACTCACTGTGTGATAGACGCTACGTAATTTCTGATTTTATTAGTTTATTGTATTGTTCAATCGTGATAAGGGTTTATAATGATATCACTCAGTTTGATTTCAATATTTTTATTACTATAGTTTAATGATAATACATAATTGTATTACAAATGATTGTCAACATCCTTGAAATTAGATTTCAAACATTCACTATAAAGTAATAATTCCACATAATTACATACATATTGTTGCAAACTCTTTGCGCATGTTTATATGTTTATTTTTCTACCTATTTTATTTTAGAATTGTCATATATTTTTATTGTCACTTTTTGCCTTACAACCGTTTGTACACGTATCTTCATTATAAGTTTACCATTTTCTATCCATTGTTTGATTTACATCACATATACAGTCCACTCATTCTATCACTTACATTTTGGTCCTACTTCGGTAGAATTCCAACATTTATATCCAACACATATAAAATATATTTAATAAATTTCATATGTATATATTGAATTTATATTTTATACATATATATGAAATTGTTAGCGTTAAAGTGAAAAGCAGTTGTGGTTGAAAAATATTCTATTTAATTGGAAGAGCTCACATTACAAAGCACTTGATGCAGATTGGTAATGGTAATGGTAAATTACCATTGTGTTGCCATGTATAAAAAGTTACCATGTTTATTGTTATAAGAAGTTGACTTAAACAGAAATATATTCTACATATTTTATATGTATATATGTGGAATTATCATTAACACATTTAACATTCCAACAGGAACCGAAATAGTAGCCCTTATCTATTGAGGCTGCATGTGTTTCCATTTGCACCACAGGATAAGTAGGTAATTACTATCAGTCAACAATATTTAATCTCTTTTTAACGTTATTCTATCCGACATAGGTGCAATCTATCACATTACAAGAACTACCAGATTATTATCCTACAATGCAGTAGGTACACAATTATTTATAATAATAATAATCTCAGGACAATTCACACAGCGCCATCTAGACCTAAGTTAAGCTAGCTAAAGCGTGTGTTATGGGTACTAGACAACTGTTACAAATACATTTTTTTTTTTCGTAAATACAAACATATTATACATAGAAAACACCCAGACCGATACAAACAATCATTCTCATGAATGTGTTTGTGCTGTGCGAGGAATCGAACCCGCTACCATCGGTAGACCGCTAGACCACCGAAGTCGTCAATTAGGAAGGACATCATAAACGGCCTACTTTGCTAGATTATAACAAAGTGTATAATAAAATAATTCAGTTTACAAATATTTATAACCAGAAAGAAAGTCATTGAACACATTGAATCTACAGTTCTCGAGATAATTCCCAGTGTGAGGTAATTACTCACAAGTAGGATTCTACTAATGAAAGGACTTCTACAATCTGCTCAGCAACTAGTTCCACACATTATTGCTACAATACATTTTGACCCCTTTATAATATTTGTATAAACTTGCCCAAAAACTTTAGATAATTTTGATTGTTAATCTAAGAGATCATTTATTTACAAATTAATAACTTATTCATACATTGTAACAATAAAAAATACACTTAATCAAACATAATTACAATAAACGTACAAAAAGTAAAATTAAAATACAAATATTTATGCCATCACACGGTATAAAAAATATCTTATTATCAACACAACAAAATTATCAATAAATGGAAAGATTTACATATAAATAGATACTAGTCTATATGATACATAAAATTGACTACATTATTGCTACAAAAAAATACTCGATGCCCGATTAATATTTGGGTATTCATTACATCAGAAAAATCGAATTCAGCATTTTTATGCTAATTCGATACAAAAATGATACAAATTTATATTATTAGATATCATTGCTACAGTTAATATATTTGTGCCCATCGGGGGTGGAGGAAATTTACGGAAATACTTCTTGGGGCGAGCTGCTTTTGTTGTAACTTCACTAGTAACGTTAGGGACACGGTGGATATTGAATATATAGCTCTCACCTTGTCATCTGCAATATAATTATCCGTGAAGTCGCCAGTTTTCATCGTCTCCAGGAACCATTGTAGGAAGTCATTTATATCGTTCTGTCTAAGATGCTTCATCGAAAGCCTCTCCCGCCAGTAGTCGTTCATTATCCTCGAAGTGGAACTTGCCAATGATAAGTACAACACTCTGCCACTACTCGCCAGTAACGGGAACAAAACTTCTTGAACGTTCACATATCCGTAATAATAATTGTCGATGATAAATTTCGCGTCGTCATACGTTGTGTTGTTTAGTCTAGCGCCAATGGCAACGTTGTTGATTAATGTCACTATACATCCGTTCTTCGATTGGATGTGATCCCTGAATCTGGTCACACTTTCCCTGTCGGACACGTCGAGCTGGTGGTACTCTGGATATGAACCCATCTCCTTCAGTTTGTCCATGAGCTGCTGTCCCACTTCGATGTCCCGCGTCGTCACGTAGAAAATATCGGGACATCTCCTGCACAGAAGTCTACAAATGTTCAGCCCGACTCCTTTGTCCGCGTCGGTTAATACACAGATTTTCTGCATTATGGCTGCCCTCCACGAATGTCTCTACGAATCTAATGTGGTTTAAAAAAATTGGCTATCTTACGATAACAGTTATCAACAACATGTTCGCTGGATGATAGTAATGTACCTACGCATGCGCGTGCGCAATTGACATTGTAGGCATGACAGTAAAGATATTTATATAAAGATATAGGACGTCGAAACGTTTCTACAAAATTCCTGCACTTGCAAGTAAATACGTTACGAGTCAGAATAAAACTGAGGTTTTAAAACTAAATAACGATACTGTTAAATGTATCAAGTATGTAAATAACATGAAACGCCTGTCAGGCAAGTATGTTTTTCTAATTGTAGTCGTAATTGCTAATTATAAAAGTACAGGCGTCTAACAAATAAACTTGGTTATATCACAGATAACATAATATTACATACAGATACCCCATCCCATACAAGAAAATGGTTCCTTCCTAACTCGGGCTATTCTTCGGGCTATTTTATTTCGCCACCGTAGCCGCTAGATGTCGCTAGATTTGAAGCAGTTCGGATTACTAGTGGGTGCTTAGTAACAAAGCATGAAAATAGATGGCAGTCAATTCAGCTACATGACATCTGTTTTGCAAAGATATGTATATAATAGATATGTAGGTTACTGTATCGTGTACCTCATTAGGGACGATTCAAGATTCAATGTAAATGTGTAGGTATAATATCGTTAGCCGACACTCTGCAGATATGGCTTATGTGCCAATGTATATACCTATTATGTTATGGTTTATTTTACATTCCATGCCTATTTTTTTGATATGTTGTAACGCGTCTGCGCTATACGTATAGCCTGATTTTGATACGTTTATACTCGTACGTATCAAAATCGGGCTATACGTTTTTTTATTTCAATCGTTATATGTATGAGACTGATTTTAGCTACAATTAATTTACTGGTATATACCTCATGTATTCTACGATGTACCCCTCTTTTACCTAATGAGAATTCCGCTATATCTTATATTGTTGGATCGTCATAAAAATAATTAAAATAAGTTGTAAGACTATCGCGCTGCGTGCGGTATTCAACGACCAACTGCCGCCGGCCTCCCGTTACCCAACCGCTACCGGGGTATCCGTTGCTTAGCAACGAGCCAACAGCGCGAGGCTACCGGCGGGTGCGCCGCTATATATATATATCTACTTAGAGGTAGTGTATTACAATATATAAATTTTGTATCACAGTGTTAGTTGCCATATTTCTCCCATGATGAAAATTGATATGTATACTTGCCAGGTCTGAGGTAGGGTTGTTATCTATTTTTTATACCCCTAAGTCATAGGGGTGGCCTACCCCGAAAAAATATTTTTTTGTATTATGGACAATTTTTTTTTATTTATAATGTTACATTGAAAATACATACACGCCTAAATTTTCACCCGTCTTTCACCAACCCCTATTTTTAATAGCGATATTCTTAAAAATATTATAAATGCTAAAGTAACTCAGTCTGTCTATTTGTCTCGCTTTCACGCCAAACATTCTGAATTACTCGTATATCTTTCAATATCTTTAGCGGTATAAACCAGGTTATGTACTACTACTAGTATTGTTAGTGAGGGATAAAGTTGATGAACAAAAATAAAACAATATTCGTATTAAAAATATATTCATCTAATATTTTTGGCATTATTTTTAAGTTTCTTCCAAATACAAGGGGTCTGACATGGGGTGTTATGTACCTACATTAAAAGATACTTTTTGAAATGTATGAAATGTATGTACCTACATTAAAAGATAATTTTTGACATGTATGAAATGTATGTACCTACATTAAAATATAATTTTTGAAATGTATGAAATGTATGAAAGAAATGTATGTATGTACCTACATTAGAAGATAATTTTTGACATTTATGAAATGTATGTACCTACATTAAAATATAATTTTTGAAATGTATGAGATGTATGAAAAAAATGTAAGTACCTACATAAAAAGTTCATTTTTGAAATGTATGAAATGTATGAAAGAAATGTATGTACCTACATTAAAAGATAATTTTTGACATGTATGAAATGTATGAAAGAAATGTATGTACCTACATTAAAAGATAATTTTTGACATGTATGAAATGTATGAAAGAAATGTATGTACCTACATTAAAATATAATTTTTGAAATGTATGAAAGTAATGTATGTACCTACATTAAAATATAATTTTTGAAATGTATGCACCGTACAATAACAATACACGTTAAACATCATACCACAGAGTCATACGCAAGTTAAAAACAAACTGCTATGATATTAATGAGAAAGGAAAATCAACTTTATGGTATTCGAATTAGGATCGATTTCTTTCTTTTTTTTAAATACTAATTTAATCTTACCAGTTGCCAGTATTCGAAGACAACTACGATTCGTACTCGATATTTTAAATTATTATGTAATCGATTTTTCAGTACAAATGCAAATAACCAACGACACTAATAATGTACTACTATATTCCGTTCTTTGAAACGGAACACTGCTATAATACAAAATAATGAAAATTTACTGTTCACAACGACTCATTAAAAGCATCATCGAATAAGGCGTAATAAAATCCTGTTATCGATTATTAAAAAAAATCGATAATACATGTATTTATTTATAATATGACAACACTTCATACATAAGTATTATTGGAAATATTATTACTTGCTTGTTCGGCTATTTTTAATTTATTTAAAAAATTTTTATATGTTTAATTTACAATAATAATATATTAAGTGCTTATTATTGGAAAATATAAAAAAGACATTTAATTAGGCCGATACAAATGACGACAATGCCATCTATGAAAGCATTTTGAAAACATTGAGCCCCATATTAGCACTGATTAAAGTGTAATTAAGTACTGGAACATAACAAAATGAGTAAATATATGAAAATTACTTTTCTAAACGCATTATTTCATTTTAACATGTATATATAACTTTTTAAAAATTGATTAAACATTTTTGAAAACACAGTTTTGTTTTTTAAAACGTTTGCAAAACTATGAAGAATTCCATCGATACCAATCACGCCATCTATATGCAACTTTTAGCAATAATAATGGCTACTTCCTCATTGAGTGCCACTGGTTATATGTAGGAGTACACGTGTGTTTTTTTAATCTCGATATTCTGATTATGAGGGATGGTTATGAGGGAGAAATTAAAATAATATTATAAGCGTTTTTGTATTTTATTAAAACCCATTAACAATCAAATATATAAGGACTGTATTATGGTATTTATCAAATATATAATGTATAACCGATACAAAAAATAAACATCAGATATTAATATATCTCAAGATCAATATAAATTATTTCTAAATCAAAACAGATAGGAATTGTTTCTTAAAAATTACAAACACCCTTAGTAGTTGATATTTCCACGCATTATTAATGTGTTATATTTAGAATGATAACATTCTCGTATCATCATTGAATGTTTAGTCTTATTCATTAGTATAGATAATAGTAAGCAAAATAAGCGATAACCAATATCAGGATCCACTTTGTGGTCACAACATTCTTTATTAATTGTTTTCCAACAGACGCATATTTGAAGTAGTAATCTGTTTTATAATCATACCAGTCTATAACACGCCTGTCATACCATACATAAGCACCTTTCAAACTTTGGGGAGCATCCAGCACTAAATATATCGGGGTTTCGGCCGCTTGGTCGGGCGTAAAGAAACCAATTCTCGTTGTCATATCAGTAGCAACTAAGCCAGGATGCATTGAGTTTACACTTATGTTCCTAGATTGGAGATCTCTTTGCTGTATCATTGTTAATGCGCTAATTGCTACTTTCGACACCCTATAAGATGCTACGCTTCCAAAATCTGCAATATCACTCTTTTGAAACGTTCCATTTCTCACTGAATCCAAAAACCACTTCACAAATTCGTCAATATCGTTTCTTGTAATATCCCTATTGCTAAGTCTCTGCAGCCAATGTTTATTCTTAATGTTTGATAGATGTCCACAATCGCTTGATATGTTAAGAACACGGGCTGAATCCTTTAGCAGTGGGAAGAGGAGTTCTTCTACCAGTAAAATGCTGCCGTAATTGATATTAATGACTTCTTTATGAGATTCGTAACTGTCGTAGTATTTACCAGCAACGCCGGCGTTGTTAATTAGTATATCTATTCCACTATGTGTACCTTTGATATGATCTCTAAATTTTACAACGCTGTCTCTATTGGAAACGTCCAACTGATGATATTCAGGATGGAGTCCTATTTTGTTCAGTTTCGCTATTGCTTCCTTCCCTTTAGCGACATCTCGACATGTCAAATATACTATTCCATTGAACTTTTGGCATAAACCTTTCACAATTCCAAAACCGATGCCCTTGTTGGAGCCGGTTATAACTGCCACTTTATTACTCATGTCTTCCTTTAACGAATGTTAGATTTTTACTAATGAAAAAGAACCAGGTCAAAGTGACACAATTCGTTCGTCTACAAGTCTGCAGTATCTTATCTCTTGTATATAAATTGTGATTAGATTGTTCACTTAGGACTCGTTCATGTTGTTGTTTTAATATCAAAATAATATATCATAATCTATACATATTAGTGTCTGTTTGTAATATTGATATAACCGTTTTTTACTACATGCATATGAATATATTTTTTTTGATTTCTATCTGTTTGTTTGTTCCAGCTAATCTCTGAAATGGCTGGACCGATTTTGACGAGACTTTTATTGGCAGGTAGCTGATGTAATAAGGAGTAACTTAGGCTAGTTTTATTTTTTTTTAATTCTCTAATAATTTTTTTTGCTAAATTCCACACGGATGAAGTTGCGGGTACAGCTAGTAGGAAAATATGTCAATGTCGATTTGTTATGATTTTGAAGAATTCAACTTACATAGAAAGGAAATTGATCTTAAAAATGAAATTCGTGAAATTAGAATTTTTATAAGCACTATATAAGAAAATGTTAAATAGAGCGGTGGATGTAGATAGATGTCTAAATGTGCATAATTTTTATTTTTAAACTTTCGTGTTTAATATACATTATTTAAATTATTAACCGGGTCTTAACACGAATAATTTTATGGCAAATAAAGGTATTTACCTCTCTCGACGTTTCGACTAGGTTGCACTAGCCGTGGTCACGAGCTGACTGGAGCAACAGCGATGTCAATGTAGACAGATGACAGCAGTTTTCCCATCTACCGTCACTAGATTGTTCAACGAAAGTTCGCGACACAAAGCACTCACGGTATCAGTACACTTATCGACTGTTGATGCTACTGAACTTTGCTTAAATTTATTTATGACTGGATTCCACGCAGATGATAATTTTAAGCCATCCTCTCTGTTGAAATTGGGATGTTTTTTTATTTCAATCGCCTCCCGGACCATTCGTGGTTAATAATGGGAAATACCTTTATTTGCCATAAAATTATTCGTGTTAAGACCCGATTAATAATTTAAATAATGCATTATTTTTGCTTGAAAATCTATACTATAAAAGAATTTTTGAGGGCCTTTGTCTGCATATTAATAAAGTCATATAATTTGTAAATTTCCATCAGCTGATAGTAGTCTTATGGATGACTCGCTGTACTCGCGATTTCGTCCGCGTGGAATTTAACTTTATATTTCTAAAATAAAAGTAGCCTAAGTTACTCCTTATTACATCTACCTGCCAATAAAAGTCCCGTCAAAATCGGTCCAACTATTTCAGAGATTAGCCTGAACAAACAGACAGACAGACAAACATTGTAAAAAATTATATTTTGGTGTATGTACCGTATTTATATTCATATGCATGTAGTAAAAAACGATTATTTCAGACACTCCAGTATTATTTATATGTATAGATGTATAGATTAGAGACAAACTTTTTAATATTGATTCACTCTGCGGATGCTGTATCCTGTCATGGGGCAGAGCAGACCCCGGGACTTGTGACCCGGGTGTAGGTTTAAGGGGTTTGTCCCTTGTGGACTTACATGATCACCTTCACCAGTCCCGTATCACTTCCTACCAAAGCAAATCGGGCAGGAGACTGCCAGTGCAGCTTTAGATGAAACTTTAAAACAAACTACGTAGATACGCAATTCAAATGTAATTTTTACAATAACAAAAACTTAATGCTTATTTAGCAAGCTTAATATAACTAGCTTTTACCCGCGGCTTCGCTCGCGGTAATTTATCCCCTTAGAGGTGGAATTTATCAAAATCCTTTCTTGGGAGATGCCTACGTCTAAGTATCTTTATGCATGCAAAGTCTCAGCCCGATCGGTTTAAAATTGACAAAGTTTCATACAAACTTTCATCCCCTATGTTAACCCCTTGGGGGTAGAAATTTGAAATTTGGCATCCAGGTAGATAGTAGATATTATGTATCTACCTGCATGCTAAATTTCAGCCCGATCCGTCCAGTGGTTTGGGCTGTGCGTTGATAGATCACTATGCCAGTCACCTTTGAGTTATATATATTTAGATTAGCAGAAATTTAGTAATGAACAGAAAATTACAATAACATGATGTCTTGTGAACACGGATTTATTTTATTTTGCTAACGTTATCGTTGTTAACAGATAAATGAAGGTCAAAGGTTGTGAACTTGAAACAACCTATGTATAAACTGTAATATGTATCTAATGACGATTTATATAAAATACAAATTTGCTGAGCACACTCGTATGAAACACTGGGCTATGAAAGTTCGGGTCATTTAAAAATTTACAAGATATTCAGCCGCATACTAGAAGTATTGCCACTGTCCTTAACATGTCACATTGCTACCTGTTAAAACTATAAGGTCCTAAGGGTACTATAAACCAACACTACACTCGTGTATACAAGGTTTATTGGTCGGTTTCAAATACAGATACAGGTACAAATTTTTTTTTCGGTCTACTCTAATGCTGTTGGCCGCAGCTGGCCTTTACAGCTTCACCGGACGTTAGGGGGCGAGTGCAGATGGCACTCCAAACCCGCGGAAGGACTTATGGAGCGGCTGAAGGCCAACTCCTGCCTGACAGATACGACTTTGGTCTGAGGGCACCGCTATGGGTTCAAACCTCGGCTCAGGCTGTCGTAATATAGATCCCCCTTTGAATTGGACGGGGGATCGATCGGAGGGGACAGTTATAATTTTTTTTTTCGGTCTACTCTAATGCTGTTGGCCGCAGCTGGCCTTTACAGCTTCACCGGACGTTAGGGGGCGAGTGCAGATGGTACTCCAAACCCGCGGAAGGAGTTATGGAGCGGCTGAAGGCCAACTCCTGCCTGACGGATACGACTTTAGTCTGAGGGCACCACTAGGGGTTGGAACCTCGGCTCAGGCCGTCGTAATTTCGATACCCGTTTGAATTGGACGGGGGATCGATCGATCGGAGGGGCGCTCGGGGGCGCCGGTGTGGAGCGACCGGGCGCGCGCAGGCGCCCGGTTGAATGCGCGATATTGTGTGTTTGAGGTCGTCGTCTTCGCCGACGAGGACGGTGTCGTGTGTAAAAGTGTGGTCGGGGTGGAACGGGTGGGCCCGTGGGGAGGTTACCTGCCGTTATGGGGTCGTCGGGGTCAATGAGATCGTGCCTCGGGCGACGTTGTCGACGTTGTATGTCCGATATTATTTCTCGGTGCGTAGTCGACCGCACTGACATATTACAAATAAAATATGAGAAATCAATAAAAAGTAACATTAGTGCGTTTCAATTTTGTTACAGCGCCATCTATTGGCTTTGAATGCAAACACTATTGTTTCCCTGATTACTATCTATTTAAACCTTAACACTACCGATGTACCGTGTCAGGTTTAGACCGTTTTTCCTTTCAGATATCGTGGTTAAATCCTGATTAATACATCAGAATGAATGAATTAACATGACTACAACTACATGAGATCCTTTCTCTGATACGTCGTTAAAGTATATCGTTAGAGCAGATGAAAACAGTTCTAGCAACACTCGATAGCATCATAACCTAGTGGTTCACTATACCGATTCACATTTCTTTTTATTTTATTTTCTCTGTTTATTTTGTTTCATTTTTATATAGTCTACAATTGTGTTATTATGAAATTAATCTAAAAAATCTTTATGAGTCTGATATGTCAAATTCACTGATCAGTAATAGTAAATAATTATTTGGCAATTCTTTTGTGGACTCCCGCGATATAGGTTCGCCTAGTGCGGGGTCCAATATATAATAAATTTTGTAGTATATTTGTACATGTAATGGTTGTTAGTTCAAATCTGGCCGACACAAGACAAATTTTGTGTCAAGTATGTACTACTGGCATTCGCACAACTAACAATAAAATACCGATACAACCAAACAAGCATTAAAATATATTATATATAAATAACATATATATGTAAAAAGATAAACTATTTCATATATAAATAATGTAAATATGTAGATGTGTGTCATCTATATAAATCTAAATATATATAACTCAAAGACGACTGACATAGTGATCTATCAATGCACAGCCCAAACAGTGGTTTGGGCTGTGCATTGATAGAGATAGATTTGGGCCGTCCAGTGGGACGGATCGAGCTGAAATTTGGCATGCAGGTAGATGTTATGACTTAAGCATCCGCTATGAAAGGATTTTGATTAATTCTACCTCCAAGGGGCTAAAATAGGGGATGAAAGTTTGTATGAAACTTTGTCAATTTTAAACTGATCGAGATTTACTATGACGTAGGCATCCTCTAAGAAGGGATTTTGATAAATTCCACCCCTAAGGATATTGAAATTTTGTATGAAAGTATTGCAAAGCCGCAATAAATATACCTAATAATAATGCTTCTTAACGCGAGCGAAGCCGCGGGGAATTTTTATGGGGAACGGGGAAAATTTATGGGAATAGGTATAAAAAATTACAATAAGATACCAAAGGATATATTAGAATTACCCTTAAATAAATTCAAAACATCTGTTAAATCACATTCACTGAGCAAAGCCTATTTATTACTCACTAAACGATTACTTGAATGACGAGCGTGCATGGCAATAATTGTTCATGCACTGTATTTTCATTTAATGTTAGACATAGACACCTATATAAATACCTATACATTGTAAATACACTGGCTTTAAAAAAAAAGGCCAGTTTCTCTCAATTGGATCTATATACCGAACTGGACGCTAGGGAAAAAATTAAAATTATAATTTTAAAAAACTTGACATTCATAAGCGGTTAAAATGTTCTACATGAATAAATGATTTTTGAATTTGAAAATTGTATTTGTTGGAAAAATAGTTTAGGTTGTTAAAAAAATTGAATTATCATAAACGAAAGAAAGGGTTAAAAATGCTTTATTTCACATAACAAATAATACATTAGAAATGTTCACTGTAATATTCTGAATTCAAGTTTTGAGAAGAAATTAATATTTCATCTGCAGTGTTTTACTTTTAAAGTAGTAATCGGCATTATAATCATACCAATCAAGAACTTTCCTATCGTACCAAACATAAGCGCCCTTCAAATCTTGTGGAGCATCCAGCACTAAATACAGTGGAGTTTCAGCGGCTTGATCAGTGCTATAGAATCCCACTCCAACAGTCATATCTGTACGTACTAAGCCAGGGTGCATTGAATTTACAGATATGTTCCTGGATGCTAACGCTTTCTGTTGCAGTAACGTTAGAGCGCTGACAGCTACTTTGGAAACTCTATAAGCAGCAACAGTACCTCCATCTGCAATGTCATCTTTGTTAAATGTCTCCTTCTTCACAGATTCCAGATACCAATTCACAAAATCATTGATATCGTTCAGTGTCAAGTCTTTCTTCGATAATCTATCTATCCAATTTTTATTTCTCACATTAGACAAATGTCCACAATCACTAGAAATGTTGAGCACTCTTCCATTGTTTCTTATTAAAGGGAAGAAATATTCTTGTATCGTTAAGTGACTATAATAGTTGATGTCAATTATCGATTTGCTTTCATCATAGTCGTTATAAAGTTGTACACTATTGGCTACTGCAGCGTTATTTATTAAAATATCGATACCTCCATGTGTATTTTTGAGGTGCTCACTAAATTTGATGACACTATTCTTATCAGCGACGTCTAGTTGGTGATAAGCAGCTTGGAGACCTTCTTTCTTCAAATCAGCTACGGCGGTTTCCCCTCTGGCAACATCACGAGATGTCAAATATACAAGGCCATCGAATCTCTTGCACAGACCTTTAACAATGGCATAGCCGATGCCCTTATTGGAGCCGGTCACTACAGCTACTTTTAGAGACATGTTAAGCACCTTAGTCTGCAGTTGGTGAACTACTGTGGTTTATTGAAGTTATCTTTGTTATATGTAGACACAGTGATATTGTTATCAGAAGGTCATGTTCATAGTGCTTTCTGATATTGACCAAATACTGTTTGAATATTGTTCTTAGCACAGCGATAACAAAAGATAACATAAAATTCCAGATAGGAAAGTAGATTTGAAATAAATGAAATGCAAGTGAATTTAGTCGGGTAATATTAGAATACCTTTAGTAACTTTATAAATGGTCTAATAAGTTTCCGAACTGGTCAAAAAAGAAAAGTAATAAAAATTTAGTTTTTGTCTTGTACGTTCTTTTGATTTATGAATACTTTATTGACTATTTGATTTAAAACAAAAAACTTCAATATAAATAGCGAAGAAAATAATACAATTTGACATATTTTCGACTTGATTTTGATCAGATCACGATTATAATTCACCATGCACTTCACGTCTCTTAACTTTGAATTACGACGACATATTCGCCCGTGTGAAATGTGGCAGAATTGGCTAGGATTTAAGTGTCAGGCAATGAACTTTTGCTCAATGAATAAGCAATCGTTACCCACACTTGGCGCAAACGCCCATTACACTTAGGACGTGCAAAACACAAGTATGAATCTAGAGAATTTAATTAAAGGGGCCTGGCAACTGGCATATTGGCGTGTTGCCAGCGTGCCAGGTTGAATGCTGGCAGCGCTCTTCGGACCTGATAATGTCGGCTGGATTTACGATCGTGACTGTAGACTGCTTAAGTACGTTAAACCCCATATAGGCGACTGACAAATGAGAGTAATTATTTGAAAAAAAAAAGGCTATTGAAAAAAGGTAGAAAATTTTCCTTATCGTACGCTGTACCATTAATGTACAACAACATGTATTTTTACTGTATCCTGCGATGAAAACCCAACATGGTACGATGTTACAAATATTTGTTCAAACTTTGACCACATTTATTTATTAATTTCAAAACATACAAATATTGTAAAGTTGGTTATACATTGGACCCCGGACTAGGCGAACCTGTATCGCAGGAGTCCACAAAGGAATTACAAAATGATTATTAACTATTACAAGATCTATCATCATTGCCTTGCCTTTATCCCATTATTTGGGGTCGGCGCAGTATGTAATTCTCTTCCACTGCTCTCTATCGGTCGTCATATCTAAACATACTCTTCTTTTCTTAGGGCGTCCCCTCCCTTTACATCCATCCACATTCATATTATACACGTTCCATAAGACATGGTCCTCATTCCTCCACATAACATGCCCATACCAGCTCAATCTGTTACCTCGCAACTTTTCTATAACCGGCGCAACTTTTAAACTTCCTCGTATTACAACTATTACAAGATCAATAAGAAGAGTAAATTTGACATGCTCAAGGAATAGCTTGTAGCACACGACAATTTTGTAGGCATAATTATGTCTGGCGCCGGCTTAAAGAAATTTGCTCAAGATTTCAATGTAAGCTTTGAATAGAATAACGATATTTTCATCAGACGTCGTCAACTGATCGACAACAAAAATAGCGTATTCCATATTTCAATCGTGAAAAACGTTTTCGTTTCCTGGTACATCAATCATACCGTGCATGTTTCACGTTACGTCATTTATGTGTTATTTCTCCTCGCCCCTTCTCGCCTCCACTAGCACCGAGCAGGGCTGTAACTCTTAACCTTTTGGCTTGTATAACGGAACTCAAAAATCTGATATTGATTCTCGAAACTGCGCGATAGTTGCCAACATATTTAGAAATTTATCATGTGCCCCCTGCACACATTCATATTCACAAAAATAAGAAAGATGTGGAATGAAAATTATTACAGAGTAGCTGTACCCGCGACTACGTCCGTGTGGATTTTAACTTTATTTTTCTAAAATAAATGCAGCGCAAGTTACTTCTTATTACATCAGCTACCTGCCAAAAGTAGTTCCGACAAAATCGGTCCAGCCATTTCAGAGATTAGCCGGAACAAACAGACAGACAGACAAAAATTGTAAAAAATATTATGTTAGTGTATGTACCGTTAACCGTATTTATATTCATATGCATATAGAAAAAAACGGTTATTTCAATATTACAAAAAGAAAGAGCTGGCATTAGAGTAGTCCGAAAAATTTTATCTTTATATATTTTTCTTCTATTTATCACACATACTTATAATTCATCAATTTAACTCATTCTTCATTATATATATTTAAATTCATCAAGAATGCTATTTCTTTTTTTCAAGTGGCTGCACTGAAAATCAGCGCTGCAGTGACACGCAGCGGCACCAGCTGAGTGGAGGCCCTTTCAGCTCATAGCGAAATGTTAGTTTTCAGTTTTCTTTCTTACTCTATACTATGATGTTGAATAAATGATTATTATTATTATTATTAAAAAAACGAAAAGCTTAGCATATCCTACAGAAGTATACGAGAGTGATAGACCACGTATCGTATTGAATTTAAAAAAATCTGCAGTAACACGAAATTCTCGTTTGACAACCCTGCACAGTACACTCTCCCGAGTTCCCAGCGGATAAAAAAATCCACACATAAAGCATTTGCTGTTGAGGAACCTCAATAAATACTGTTACTGTTCGAGTCGAAATAGTTTTATACTAGTACAACTAGATGGCGCTGTATTTTTGCATACATATTTCTAAAACACGCTAATAAGATATTTTTGTTATTCCTTATATAGATAGGTAATTTTTTTCTTTATGCCCCCTCCGATCGATCCCCCGTCCAATTCAAACGGGGATCGATATTATGACGGCCTGAGCCGAGGTTCGAACCCCTAGTGGTGCCCTCATACTAAAGTCGTATCCGTCAGGCAGGAGTTGGCCTTCAGCTGCTCCATAAGTCCTTTTTGTTTGGAGTGCCATCTGCACTCGCCCCTAACGTCCGGTGAAGCTGTAAAGGCCAGCTGCGGCTAACAGCATTAGAGTAGTCCGATTTTTTTTTATGCACTTAAATCAATATATACGGTTGAAAATCGCATAACTATTTCATTCATTAAGTCAGTCAGCGGCTGATTCTCCAGAACCTCGATTTTATAGCCATAATAAAACATTTCTATGAATCTAGATGTACTCATAGGCAGTTAGAATACAATACAGATAAAAAATTTTGCTTGAATTTTCAATAAAAGGGCAGTAGATAATATTTTTTTCACTATTGAGGTGACAGAAAGTATTACTCCAGCAGTATCATAAATAAATAGAATAGAATAGAAATAGAAAATTATTTACTGAAATAAACTTAATTTAAGCATTTTTGAATATTCATAGTTATCATTCTTTTAATCTACCGCTCATTCGGAAAGCTGTCTCATTACAAGAAGAAGGAGCAAGAAACTTGTGTGCTGCTCTTTTAAATAATCATTGTAATTAATAACATGTTTAAGTCGAAACGGTTGAATACCAACTAGTAGTAGTTTATTAGATACTCAATAAAATTAAATCAGTTGTAGTGATTAGAGCAGACCAGTCCATACAAGCAGCACTCGTTCACGAGTATGACGTATAAGACATTACATTAATATAATAATAATATATAACAATCTAAGGATCGCCATCATAATCACACAGCGCCATCTAGACCCAAGTTAAGCCAGCTAAAACTTGTGTTATGGGCACTAGATAACTGATACAAATAGATTATTTTCGTAAATACATACATTTTATATGTAAACAACCAGACCAATACAAACAATCATACTCATGAATACAAATGTTTGTGCCATACGAGGATCGAACCCTCGACCATCGGACGTAAAGCGGTGTGCTAAACCGCTTGACCACTACGGTCGTCAAAATCATTGACATTAGAAAGTTCTTTCCTTTTTTTACAATAGAACTAGCTACTTGCCCCGGCTTCGCACGGGTGTACATGTATTATATATATAAACCTTCCTCCTGAATCGATCTATATATTAAAAAAACCGCTTCAAAATCCGTTGCGTAGTTTTAAAAATCTGTTTGTTCCGGTTAATATCCGAAATGGCTGCATCGATTTTGATAGGACTTTTATTGGTAGCTGATGTAATAAGGAGTAACGTAGGCTACTTCTATTTAAGAAAAATAAATTAATGTTGCGAGAATAAGAATTCCACGCGAACGAAGTCGCGCGTACAGCTAGTTAGAAATAAATATTCTGTACATTATAAGATAATATAATAATTTAAACTGTTCCTAAAGTCTTCGTAATTCGTGACACCCATGAATAAAAATGTACCGTGCGAGATTGAACCAGCGACCATCGGACCAAGGCGGTATATTAAACCGCTAAACCATCGAGGTTAAATAGTGTTTATAATTGTGAACAAAACTTAAAACAATATTAAGTAGGTGAAGATGTCGTGTTTATTGTGTTGTAGCCTGTTTATTGAATCGCGAGTTTTTCTCCATTTTGTTTTTGCCGTTCTAAGGCAGACGGCCTTAGAACGGCAAGAACAAAATGGACACTAATATGCACAATAATAGTTGACGTATATCGTTGCTTTTTGCGACCGCTACAGAAATACGGTTAGATGTCCATACGATTTTGTAATGTAACAGTATCATTTTATGATACTGTTACATTACATTCCGGTGTTTGTACGTATATATAATCAAATATTTACGGAAAGTTTACACACGTTATCATTACAACATAGTATAAAACAAAGTCGCTGTCGCTGTCTGTTCCTATGAACGCTTAAATCTTTAAAACTGCGCAACGGATTTTGAAGCGGTTTTTTTAATAGATAGAGTGATTCAAGAGGAAGGTTTATATGTATAATACATGTACATCCGTGCGAAGACATGGCGAGTAGCTAGTGAGCGAATAAAGAAACATTTTTTTATATGTAAAAAATATTGTTTTCTTTAAACTAGTCATGACTAATGATTATATTATAGAAAACAATGATTTTTGTGCCATTCTCAATTGGCATAATAATCTAGATACCATATAGTTATTTTGAGGCGGGTTTTTTTTAATAGATAGAGTGATTCAAAAGGAAGGTATCTATGTATAACGACCTCGATAGTCTAGCGGTCTAGCACACCGCTTTACGATCGATGGTCGCGGGTTCAATTCTTCACACGGCACATACATTTGTATTCATGAGTATGATTGTTTGTATCGGTCTGGGTGTTTTCTATGTATAATATGTATGTATTTACAAAAAATCTATGTATATGTATCAGTAGTCTAGTACCCATAACACACGCTTTAGCTAGCTTAAGTTGGGTCTAGATGGCGCTGTGTGAATTGTCCTGAGGTTATTGCTATTTGTATATTTCGCTTTCTCAGTCTTTTTGCTGGTTTTTTACGCTTTGCGGCGTATACCACACTTACGGGCAAAAACCAAGTAAGTGCAGTGTGTACGTGCGTGTGTAATTATTATTATTATTTCTCTTTCTTTCTCTTCTTTTATACATTTAAGAGAAGGAAAACAAGAACTCACCTACACGGGCCTTAGCCAAGTGTGGGAGAGGTTATGCTGGGTGAAGATATTGTTCAGGAGGTTAAGAATTTTCGGGTTATGCGATAGGTATTTAGTATTGTGGTTTTTTGTAGGAGATATGTTTTGGAAGGGTGAATATTTAATGTTTGCAGACTATTTTGAAGTGTTTTGGGTACAATACCCGTAGAAGAAAGTACAATAGGTACAGTATGTACAGTTTGAGCTCGCCATTGTGTTCTTACCTCTATTGCAAGATCTTGATATTTTGAAACTTTATCTGAAATGCTAGTTTGTATATTACTATTATTATTATATATATATATATAATAAAACTTTATTTGATATATATATAATTCATGTACACACGTGCGACGCCGGGGCGAGTAGCTAGTAACATAATAAGTGAATAGCGAGTGTTACTCCTAATTTGTTTTACATAATACAAGTTGATAACCCCCTCTTTTAACCGATAAGACATTGTACAATGTTTACTTTGATTATCTGGTATCAGCACCTTGTAATATCGTTTGATTACTGAATTTCAGCTAGTGATTTGAATTTATTGCCATGAAAAAGTCATGTTCTGTTTTTATCTATACCACTGACTCGATACGCAGATTGATCACAAGAATAATGTAAAAGTAGATTGTAATCTATAAAATAGTATTGTTTGCATGCAGCGACAATAGATGGCGCTGTAACAAAATTGAAACTCGCTAACGTTTCGTTTTGTAGAAAGTCCATATGTATTTTTCTTTGTAGCACTTTTTGATCCCTCCGATCAATCCTCCGTTCCAATCGATATTACGACGGCCTGATCCGGCCTGAGGTTCGAACCCGTAGCGGTGGCCTCAGACTAAATCGTATCCGTCAGGCAGGAGTTGGCCTTCAGCCGCTCCAAGTCCTTCCGCGTGTTTGGAGTGCCATCTGCACTCGCTCCCTAACGTCCGGTGAAGCTGTAAAGGCCAGCTGCGCCCAACAGCATTAGAGTAGTCCGAAAAAAATTCATTTTTTGTACCTGTAACTGTATATACACGAGAGTAGTGTTTCGGTTTATAGTACCTTTATGACCTTGTTGTTTTAATAAATAATGAATAAGAAACTTGCGTGATGCTTTTTTAAATGTTGTTCAAAATTGAATTACATTTTCAAAAATATTGTGTGAACACATACTGGCAATTAGCAAAGTTGACATCTATACATATAAATAAAATTGGAGTGTTTGTTCATTTTTTACTACATGCATATGAATATAAATACAGTACATGCACCAAAATAACATTTTTTACAATTTTTGTCTGTCTGTCTGTTTACTCCGGCTAATCGCTGAAATGACTGGACCGATATTGACCGGACTTTTTTTGGCAGGTAGCTGATATAATATGAAGTAACTTAGGTTACCTTTAATTTAATAAAACATTTCTCTCTATTGCCCACTAATACTATTTTGGTAATCGCATTTCTTTATTATGTATTCATTTTCAAATTCATTCAAAATTTGAAATTAAATTTCAAAATTGGAATTTGAAATTTAATTAAAAAAAAAAGTTTGAATTATTTATTTATTTACCAAAATTCTTTCTAACACATTAAACCGACTACGTTACGTAATACGAACGTATTAGTAATTACTAATTAATATTATTAATAAAAAACTATAATAACTGTATATGAATCAAAATTATACTCTAATATTATATAGATTATTCAAAATTCAAAATATTCATAAGCCTATTACAGACTCTTATGATATTTCAAATCTACCGTCAGTTCCGAATGATTTTGAGATGAGAAGAACTGACAAGAAACTCAGCTCGTATTCTTCTTACATGTTTACAATAATACAGATACATTTTTAAATTCAAACTTAGGAGAATAGATTGACCAGTATATGCTATTGCAAAAGCAAATATACTGTAATACTTACTATCAGAATTCATGCAAGTATCGCTGCGGGATATATGTAGTTTAGAAATACATAAAGGTATATGTGGGCGACAGAACTCTTGTTGACTCTCTTCTCTCCTCTTGAATCACTCTATCTATTAAAAAAACCCGCTTCAAAATAACTATATGGTATCTAGATTATTATGCCAATTGAGAATGGCACAAAAATCATTGTTTTCTATAATATAATCATTAGTCATGACTCTTTTGAAGAAAACAATATTTTTTAAAAATTTTAAGTTTTAAAGATTTAAGCATACATAGGGACAGACAGCGGCAGCGATTTTGTTTTATGCCATACTAGCTGCTAGCCCCAGCTTCGTACGGGTGTACATGTATTATACATATAAACCTTCCTCTTGAATCACTCTATCTATTTAAAAAACCGCGTCAAAATCAGTTGCGTAGTTTTAGAGTCACAAGTGAGTTTTGTCGCTCACAGACAGTTTCTATTGGCTACATTCGTTTGGTATTTACGAGTAGAGCATTCCGTTACTTGGCAATGCACCAGGTTCTCCTTTGAAACGAGTCAGTAAACTTTTGATCTAATCAAAATCGCTGGTCGCAAATAAAGTTACAAAATTCAAATATTTCTTGAGATCCGCAACGAAAACATACAAAAGAATATATATTATGTGAATTTTCCGTAGTAAGATGGAGTAAAAATATTACTATCAAATACTAAACACAAATCACAGTAGACGTTTATTTTATACATATATATGACAGCCTCAGTAGTCTAGTGGTTTAGCACACTGCTTTACTTTCCGATGGTCGTAGGTTCGATTCCTCGCACGGTACAAACATGAGTATGATTGTTTGTCCGATACAAACTGGATGTTTTCTATGTATAATATGTATTTATTTTAAAATTAAAATTATTACATTTAAAATTATCTATGTATTTATATCAGTTGTCTAGTACCCATAACACAAGCTCTGCTTAGCTTGGGACTAGATGGTGCTGTGTGAATTGTCCTGAGATATTATTATTATTATTATATATATACAGATTACTAGCTCTTCCCGCTACTTCGTCCGGGTGGAATTTACTTTATTTTTCTAAAATTAAAATAGTCTAAGTTACTCCTTAAAAATTAGTCCAGCCATTTCAGAGATTAGTCTGAAGAAACAGATAGACAAAAATTGTTATAAATGTTATTTTGGTGTATGTACCGTATTTATATTCATTATACATTATACCTGTTTTTACAGGTTATTTCAATTGTATTACAAACAGACACTCCAATTTTATTTATATGTAAAGATTGATGTGAAATTTGTGAGTAGTTATTAAGTTATTATCTGTTATTTATTAATATTGAAATATTTGTTTTTTACTGTTGAACCAAAAATTTTAATTTCAAAAGTAGTTTTACTACAATAATTTACCTAAGTCCCCAAGAATCGTTTAGAAAAAGTCAATAGGTCGGTAGGGTAATTTACAATAAGATACCAAAGGATATATTGGAATTACCCTTAAATAAATTCAAAACATCTGGTAAATCATATTTACTGAGCAAAGCCTATTACTCACTAAACGTTTACTTGAATGACGAGCGTGCATGGTAATAGTTGTTCAAGCACGCGATTTTTAATGTTAGACATAGACACCTATATAAATACCTATACATTGTAAATAAACTGGCTTTTAAAAAGAAAAGTAATTCAATTGAGTTTCTTGCTAGTTCCTCTCAATTGGATCTATATACCGAACTGGACGGTAGAGAAAAAATTAAAATTATAATTTAAAAAAAATTACGTTCACAAGCGGCTAAAATGTCCTACATGAATAAATGATTTTCGAATTCGAATTTGATTTACATGAATAGAGATATTTTGTTATTCGTTAACGATAATAATGTTTTTATAGAAAAACTTTAAATCTATAGCACTGACAATATTATCTGATTACACTAATAATGAGTGCGTAGCGACTTCTATGTTGATTATCGCAGGCCTCTTACTTGTTATACTGTAATTATTTATATAAAAAAAACATCTATTAAAAAGAGCAACACACAAGTTTCTTGCTCATTCTTCTTGTGATGAATCTGCATTCCGAATGAGTGTTAGAATCAAAATATGACTATTCAAAAGTGCTTGTAATGATAAACTCATTAAATTTGAATAAAGATTATTTCTATTTGAATTGAATTTGAAAATAGTGTGTTTTTTATCACAAATTATTTTAACCGACTTTGACAAATAACAAACAAATAAACATTATGTTACCGGAAAACATAGCAGCTTAAAAGTCCTCAAGTTATTATTAATATATTAAATAAATAAATCCCTAACTAAATGTTGAGTGGCTACTTAAATAGGGATTTCATTTGCCGTTGACAACCCTTTGAGGGGCGCACAGCGGGCGGCGTGGAGCGACTCGCAAATTTAAATTTTAATGCCTCACAAACACACCGGTTATACGTATATATCTATACATGCAAATAAAATTGGAGTGTCTGTTTGTAATATTAGAATAGAAAATCATTTATTCAAATAAACTTAATTTAAGCACTTTTGAATAGTCATAACAATTTGTTTTTTATCTACCACTCGTTCGGAAAGCTGTCTCATCACAAGAAGAACGAGCAAGAAACTTGTGTGTTGTATTGAAATAACCGTTTTTTATTATGTGCATGTGGATATAAATACGGTACGTACACTAAAATAATGTTTTTGCAATTTTTGTCTGTCTGACTATTTGTTGCGGCTCTGTGTAATAGGCATCATTACTACATTGTATAAAATAAAGTCGCTGTCGCTGTCTGTCCCTATGTATGCTTAAATCTTTAAAACTACGCAACGGATTTTGAAGCGGTTTTTTTAATGGATAGAGTGATTCAAGAGGAAGGTATATATAATACATGTACACCCGTACGAAGCCGAGGCGAGTAGCTAGTACTTGAATAAATGACCGTGACAAAGCAACTAATTGAGACAAAGGCATTTTGAACAAAATCTTCTTTTGGTATGTCATTCTGACTATATCTAATTGTTGTAAAATAATAAAATCGAACCTTTCTTCCAGTTCCTGTCAACGTATATTTTTAATACAGATACTTCTCTTTTTTTTTTGTTGATAGTCTACTCTGTGGTCCTTTCTCAATAAAAGTATTACTTAATTTTCAAGAAACCCTTCTTAATATTAAGCTTTCTTAAGAGACGGCAATGCGCACGTAACACCCCTGGTGTTTCACGCGTCCATAGGCTACGGTAGGTAGGTTGGACTCCATTTTCCGCAATTGGCCTCTCATTCGGGCCGTTGTGCGTGTAGAGCCAGGCTACTAACGTAGCCAGCCAAGCTCCTCCCAGAAGCGCAGAAGTCTCCTGGTGTCTTCGCAGGCTTCTCGGAGCGACCTCACCGTTCCGAGGATTTGATTTCGTTGTGTGGTCACTGCTTCGCACTCCAGGATTACGTGAGCGGCCGTTTCCTCGGCTACAAAGCAGCCCCGGCATAGGGGACTGTCTGTAGCACCTATTTTGTACATATGTCTGTTTAAGGGTCATTGTCCCTATCATTGTTTTTATGTTATGCCTGTCCAGATTCATTAGGCGTTTTGTCATTCTTTGATTTGTTCTAGGAATTGCCACTTTTGATTGTTTGCAATCGGTGGTTTGTTTCCATCTTTTGTTTTGTATCTCAGTGGATCTTTGGCGAATCCAGGATCGAAATTGTGAGAATGGTATTGGCAGAAACGGATGGGGGCCTGCTACCGTTATGCCTGATCCTCTTCTTGCCAATTCGTCCGCGGCATCATTTCCGTATGATCCGCTATGCCCTTTTATCCATTGGATGGTTACACCGTTGTGCTCTGCCACTTTGTCCATGATATTGTGACATTCGATTATTAATCTGTTGTTTGATTTCCTGTTCTGTAGTGCTTTTAGCACAGCTGCACTGTCCGATATAAATTTTATGTCGAAATTATTGACACCTAACTTTTGCACTGTTCGTGCTGCCTCAGTCAGGGCAACGCATTCACATTGGAAAATCGAACTATGTGGGCCGAGTGGTATGTATAAGTTCATGTTGAGGTCAAGGGAGTGTGCTCCTGCTCCTGAACCGTTTTGTGTTTTGGAGCCATCTGTGTATATGCGTAGTTCATTTACAGCAGATTGATCTTGTTCCTCCTGTTTCATTTGTATCTGGTATTTCCTGTTAAATGAGTGATATGTTTGAGTTCTATCACACGGAGCTGCAATCAAAGGTTCGTGTTCGATTGCTTGGTTCAGGATGTGAGTGTGAGAACTATTATGGTTTTTGCCCCATAGACCAAGATGATATAGTCTTATGGCAGCTATGGCTGCCTCCTGTTGTATGAACAGATCGAGGGGTGTTATATTGAGGGCTATTTCAATTGCTGTTGTTGGGGTAGTTTTCATACATCCCGTGATTGAAGAGCATGCAAGTCTTTGAAAGGACCTTAGTTTGTTGACTGTGGTCGTGAGTTTCGACCTTGTCCACCAAACCAAGGCCCCGTACACTAGCATTGGTCTTATCACTGCTGTGTATAGCCAAAGTGTTATTTTTGGTGTAATACCCCACTTGTTTCCTAGCATCTTTCGACATTGATAAAATGCTATGGTGCTTTTGTTGATTTTGTGGTCAAGATGTTTGTTCCATAGGAGTTTACTGTCCAGTATAACTCCCAGGTACTTGACTTCTTCTTTTAGACTAAGGTCTGTGTTAAAGAGTTTCGGTGTCCTGAAGATACCAGGAGCTCTTTTGTTAGTAAACATGATTAGTTCTGTTTTGGAAGGATTTACTGAGAGTTCGTGGTTTTTACACCATCTCTCTACAAGTCTGAAGGCTTCTCTCATGCGGTCGCATAAAGTTCCCTCAAAGTTTCCTGTTATAAGTATAGCAATATCGTCAGCATACCCTACCGTGTAGAGGTCGTTGTCATTGAGCTCCTCAATGAGTTCGTTAACAACTGGGTTCCAAAGAAGAGGTGATAGGACCCCTCCTTGTGGACATCCTCATCCTTGTGTGGTAGTGTTTACGGTAAACTGAATTGCACGGTTCTTTAGCATGTTGCTTATCCATTCTATGATAGTTAGAGGTACTCCATGTATGGCGAGAGCCCGGCTTATGCTGGTAAAATTTGTTTTATCAAAGGCCCCTTCGATGTCTATAAAGGCACCTAGTGTTGGCTGCTTTGAGTGTAACGAGTTACCAATTCGGGTTACTACGCTGTGGAGTGCTGATTCCGTTGATTTGCCTTCGCTGTAGGCATGTTGGTTAGGATGGAGTGGTTTGTTTGTGGACACAAGGTCTCTGATTTCTTTGTCGCATAGTCTCTCCAAAGTTTTTATAAAAAACGATGTGAGACTAATTGGTCGAAAGGATTTGGCCTGTGTGTAATCACCTCTGCCTGGTTTTGGGATGAAGATTATTTTCACTTCGCGCCATTTCAAAGGTATGTATCGGTGTGCTAGACATGCTCGAAATAGCTGAACGAGTTGTTCAGCTATTATGTCTCCGCTCCATCTTAGGAGGGCCGGAAAGACACCATCTAGTCCCGCTGCTTTGAAAGGCAGGAATGTGTTGATTGCCCATATTAGTTTTTCTCTGTCTATTATTTTGCTAGCTACCTCCCAGTCCGAGCTGCTGGTTGTCCTGTCTTCCTGTGAATTCCATGTGTGGTTATTGTCCACAAGAAATCCTGGGAAGTGAGTTGACAGTAGTATTTCGCAAGTTTCTGTGTCATTTGTTGTGTAACTGTTATCCGGTTTCTTTAGACAGCCTATTGTTTTTTTTTTTTTTTTCGGACTACTCTGATGCTGGCCTTTACAGCTTCACCGGACCTTAGGGGCGAGTGCAGATGGCACTCCAAACCCGCGGAAGGACTTATGGAGCGGCTGAAGGCCAACTCCTCCCTGACGGATACGACTTTAGTCTGAGGCTCAGGCCGTCGTAATTTCGATCCCCGTTTGAATTGGACGGGGGATCGATCGGAGGGGCGCCCGGGGGCGCCTGTGTGGAGCGCCCGGGCGCGCGCAGGCGCCCGGTTGAATGTGCGATATTGAGTGTTTGAGGTCGTCGTCTTCGCCGGCGAGGACGGTGTCGTGTGTGTGTGTAAAAGTGTGGTCGGGGTGGAACGGGTGGGCCCGTGGGGAGGTTACCTGCCGTTATGGGGTCGTCGGGGTCAATGAGAACGTGCCTCGGGCGACGTTGTCGCGTATGTCGGATATTGCTCCTCGGTACGTAGTCGACCGCACTGACTATAAGCGGGTTAGGGTGGGATTGGGCAGAGTCGAAGTAGCGTCGAGACGCTTCCTGCATAATTGAAAGCATTGGCTGTTTTTTTTTTATATTAAAATGTGAGCGCATTTGACCGCAATCTCACCTGATGTTAAGTGATGATGTGGTCTAAGCTGTTACACGCAAGCTCAAATAATGCCTATTCACTCTTGATTTGAAAGACCCAATGTTGTAAGAGGCAGGAAAAATAGACGCTGGTAGAGAGTTCCACTCCTTAGCTGCTCGCATAACGAAAGATGATGCAAAACGGTTGGTTCGAGCAGCTGGGATGTCAACAGTGTAGGGGTGGAGCCGCTCTCTACATCTTGTTGTACGTTGATGGAACGGTGCTGGAGGAATGAGGTTGTGCAGTTCTTGAACACATCCACCAAAATGGAGCCTATAGAACACCGATAGACAAGCTACTTTACGTTGTCAAGCGGTTTGGCGCACCGTCTTAATTCCGATGGTCGCGGGTTCGATTCCTCGCACGGCACAAACATTTGTATTCATTGTAGAAACACCCAGACCGATACAAACAGGTCTGGGTGTATTCTATGTATAAATATGTATTTACGAAAGAAAATATATCTATGTATTTGTATCAGTTATCTAGTACCCATAACACAAGCTTTAGCTAACTTAACTTGGGTCTAGATGGCGCTGTGTATATTGTTCTGAGATTATTTATTTATTATTCTTTTAATATTCCGCTCGTTCGGAAAGCCGTCTCATCACAAGAAGAACGAGCAAGAAACTTGTGTGTTGCACTTTTAGACAATCCTTTAAATAAATAAATTAATGTAAGTTCACATTTTACAAGTCGAAACGTGAATACAAACTACCAACCAGCACTAATTTATTTAGGCTCAAATATAAAAATACAATAAGATTAAATCAGTCATAGTGATAAGAACAGACTAGTCCCTACAAGCAGCACTCATAAGCGGCAAAATGAATAAATTATTTTTGAATTTGACCAGTGTACATGCGACTTAAGAACTCATAAGCGACTAAAATGTACTCTATGAATAAATTCTTTTTTAATTTGATCAGTGTACGGTACTTACGACTTAAGGATTTATAAGCGGCTAAAATGTACTCTATGAATAAATTCTTTTTTAATTTGATCAGTGTCATGCAACTTAAGGACTCATAAGCGGCTAAAATGTACTCTATGAATAAATTCTTTTTGAATTTGACCAGCGTACATGCGATTTAAGAACTTATAAGCGGCTAAAATGTACTCTATGAATAAATTCTTTTTTAATTTGACCAGCGTACTTGCGACTTAAGGACTCATAAGCGGCTAAAATGTACTCTATGAATAAATTCTTTTTTAATTTGACCAGCGTACTTGCGACTTAAGGACTCATAAGCGGCTAAAATGTACTCTATGAATAAATTATTTTTTAATTTGACCAGCGTACATGCGACTTAAGAACTCATAAGCGGCTAAAATGTACTCTATGAATAAATTCTGTTTTAATTTGACCAGCGTACTTGCGACTTAAGGACTCATAAGCGGCTAAAATGTACTCTATGAATAAATTCTTTTTTAATTTGACCAGCGTACTTGCGACTTAGGACTCATAAGCGGCTAAAAAGTACTCTATGAATATTTTTTTTTTTAATTTGACCAGTGTACATGCGACTTAAAGACACATAAGCGGCTAAAATGTACTCTATGAATAAATTATTTTTTTAATTTGACCAGTGTACATGCGACTTAAAGACACATAAGCGGCTAAAATGTACTCTATGAATAAGTTCTTTTTGAATTTGACCAGCGTACATGCGACTTAAGAACTCATAAGCGGCTAAAATGTACTCTATGAATAAATTCTGTTTTAATTTGACCAGCGTACATGCGTCTTAAGGACTCATAAGCGGCTAAAATGTACTCTATGAATAAGTTCTTTTTGAATTTGACCAGCGTACATGCGACTTAAGGACTCATAAGTGGCTAAAATGTACTCTATGAATAAATTATTTTTTAATTTGACCAGTGTACATGCGACTTAAGGACTCATATGCGGCTAAAATGTAATCTATGAATAAATTCTTTTTTAATTTGACCAGCGTACATGCGACTTAAGGACTCATAAGCGGCTAAAATGTACTCTATGAATAAATTCTTTTTTAATTTGATCAGTGTACGGTACTTACGACTTAAGGATTTATAAGCGGCTAAAATGTACTCTATGAATAAATTCTTTTTTAATTTGACCAGTGTACGGTACTTACGACTTAAGGATTTATAAGCGGCTAAAATGTACTCTATGAATAAATTCTTTTTTAATTTGACCAGTGTACATGCGACTTAAAGACACATAAGCGGCTAAAATGTACTCTATGAATAAATTATTTTTTTAATTTGACCAGTGTACATGCGACTTAAGGAATATAGGACAGTAAGCGAGGTCAGTCAGGTCACGGAGGCAGGCGTATAGAGGGCGCGTCGTTCATCTGTGGCAGCCATATCGGTTGGTGGGTCGATTGCTTTGTTTCAATTATCTACGAGATTTAATCTGTGGTCACTGAGTATTGTTATTATGGAATGATCTCGGCGGTTTTATTGTAATTTCCGATGGTTGCGGGTTCGATTCCCGCGATATAAACGTTTGTAATCACGAGTAGATTTGTTTATCTTGTTCTACGTAGTTTTTTACTTTCATTTTGACGGCTTCGGTAGTATAACAGTTTAGCACACCGCCTTACTTCCTATGGTCGCGGGTTCGATTTCATACACAGCATAAACATTTGAATTTATAAGTATGATTGCTTGTATCGGTCTAGGTGTTTTTTATGTATAATAAGTATGTATTTTTAGGGAAAAAATGAAATTTGTATTTATATCAGTTATCTAGTACCCATAACATAAGCTTTAGCTAGCTTATCTTGGGTCTAGATGGCGCTGTGTGAATTGTCCTGAGATTATTATTATTATTGTAAATCTATCAATTTTTTTAATGTCATTGTAATCGTATATAAAAAGAGCGACAACAAATTTCCTTGACAGATTTTTTCGGCTAAAACTTCTTATACGGAATGACGCCATATTTGACTTATTATAAAAGTCTGTAATATATCTATAGAAAAACATATTTTGAATTTATATAAAAAACAAAAATGTGTAAAAAAAGGTATTTAATCATAATATAACCATTGCTTTATAAAGTTTTGGATTATATATGTGTAAATGAATATAGCTGAACAAAATATACGCAAATTTTTTTTTATACTACTATGGTGGCAAACAGGCATACGGCCCATCTGATGGTAAATGGTTACCGCAGCCTATGGACGACTGAAGCACCAGGGGTGGCACGTGCGCGTTGCCGACCCTAAATCTATAACTTTAATAAATATTTTGTATTCTATGAGAAAGAATACAAAATATTCTTTCTCAGACAACATACGTATAAAAAGTAGTAGAGTATATCCTCTAAAAAGTAACCACGTTTATGGAACCCATTATCCCCTTAGGAGTGGGATTTATCAAAATCCTTTCATAGGGGATGGTTACGTCATAGTAGCTTTATGCGTGCAAACTCTCAGCCCGATTGATTTAAAATTGACAAAGTTTCATAAAAACTTTCATCCCCTATTTTATCCCTTTGGGGGTAGAATTAATCAAAATCCTTTCTTAGCGGATGCCTACATCATAACATCTACCTGCATGCCAAATTTCAGCCCGATCCGTCCAGTGGTTTGGGCTGTGCGTTGATAGATCACTACGTCAGTCACCTTTGAGTTATATATATTTAGACATTATCAACTCTGTATCTGTATAATAAAGGTATATAATTGATTAATTCATTATAAAATATTTCAAGTATGAAACCCGCGCAGTAGTCAGATATTCAGTGAACGCTCCAACGAAATTAAAGATAGCATTCCGCGATTTCAATTGCAGATTATGCTCAAGGTGGAAATACGAGGCGTTTGTCCCAATCCTTTTTACCTTGACTGCTCACTTGGCGGGTCCCTAATTAATTAAATTCCCGTCAAAAAATAGAATTAATTAATGAAAAAGTTCCACGGACATAAAACGGGGAGGATGGGAGTTGCCGGTGTTATATTAGAATTATCTGGGATTATGCGGGATTGCTCCTAATTACGGGATCCCATCAAATTACGGCAGCTCGGTTTTTTTACAAGAATTTCCCGGTACAGACATGTTCATCATTGGGCTTACCTTAAACAGTATTACTCTGTATGTTTACAAAGGTACCCGTGTCGTGTTGGAGTGTTTTTGTATTTAATTAATTAGGGAGACAGATGAGAGCGACTGTTCAGTTGTTTAAATAGATTCAAAGTTCGTAAGTTCGAATTTGGACAACACCAAAAAAATGTGTCACAATAGAATAGAATAGAAAATAATTTATTTAAAT